TGAGGTAGGAGGGAGAGGGAAAGAGGGGAAGGTCGGAAAAGTAAAGACGCGGTGATAGGAGGGAGGAAGAGGAAGAAAAAATAAAAAGAGAGAGAGAGAGAGAGATAGATAGAGAGAGAGAGAGAGAGAGAGAGAGAGAGAGAGAGAGAGCAGAGAGAGAGAGAGAGAGAGAGCAGAGAGAGAGTAGAGGAAGAGAGAGAGAGAGAAGAGAGAGATAAGAGAGAGAGAGAGAGAGAGAGAGAGAGGAGAGATGAGAGAGAGAGAGAGGAGAGAGAGAGAGAGAGAGCAGAGAGAGGCGAGAGCTGAGAGAGAGTAAAGAGAGAGAGGTGGATAATGAATAGTATCAATAGCGGCTGGAGATGGCTGTAATAAGGGGCGGGTAAGTAGTGGGGAGGAGAGGAGAAGAGAGGAGAAAGAGAGGAGAAAAAGAAAGTGGAAATGAAAACGAGATGAGAGAAATGGAAAGGAGAAGAGAAGAGAGGCAGAAAGAGAGGAGAGGGGAGGAAAGGAGAAGGAGAAGAGAGAAGGAGGAGAAGAGGAGAGGAGAGAAGAGAAGAGAGGAGAGAAGATAAGTGGAAATGAATACGAGAAGAGAGAAGAAGAGAGGAGAGGAGAGGAGAGAGAAGTAGAAGGAGAAGAGAAAGAGGAGAGGAGAGGAAAGAGAAGAGAGAAAAGGAAAGGAGAGAAGAGAAGAGAGGAGAGAAGAAAGAAGAGGAGAAGAGAAGAGGAGAGGAAAGGAGAGGAGGGCACAAGGAAACAGGAAGAAGCACTATAACTGGATAATAGGTTTACTTAGTGAAGGATAGAAAGGTGGTTTATTAAACAATGATAAAGACAATAATAATACCAATGTAAACAGCAACGCTAAATTTTAAATAACAATATAAACATTATTAGAAGACTTAATCATGTAAGGGGATTAAAAAGAAAACAATAAACGATATTGAAATTAATAAAAAAAAAAATAGCCAATAATCATAACTAAATAAAAATTCCATCCTTGTCAACAGATCGTTTTTAACTCATATTTAAATCACGAGAAAAAAAATATTACAAAAATTGAATTAATGCGACCAAAAATTTTTAAAAAATCCGAAATGGATGCTTTAAATTCCAACCAACCTATAACTTACGATAAGGAGTATACCTACTTGTGTACTCTTAAAATGGACACTTAAAATACCCCCTTTTTTTCCCCACACCCTTATCTTTTAGTGTGGTGTGGATAAGTGTTGTGGCGAAAGGTGGTATGGTGACGCGAGGTATAGTGAATGGGGAACATATAGTGATGAAGGTAGTGATGACATAATGGGTGAATCTCCTTACACTATTAGTATCCTTGTCGGTATCATTAGGAATAGTAAAATCGATATATATATATATTTTTTATAAGATAGTCGTATTATTAAGAACAGTAATGGCAGTATGAATAACCCTAAAGACATTAAAGATAAAACAAAGAGCAACATCATATCATTTACAATAAATATATATAGTTATAGCAATAGTGATAATAAGGAAATTAGCAATAATGCCTATAAAATACTATAACATATACAACAGTAGGTGCCGCAATTATAATGATATCAACAGTGTCTACATAAAAGCAGCATTGATAAAAGCAACAATAAATCTATATTCCAGCAACAATAATAAAATCTACTTAAATTTATCAAAATCTGCAACAACACCAACAACAGTGATAATAACAACAGCAACATCTACAAAGTGTTAACAACCTTTGCAACAATAACTGCACAATGCTTAAGAACCGACCCAGACATTAACATCATGTATGGTACATTATGGATTATGCATTATACATTAGGCAACAGGCATTATGCATAATACCACACACATAAATACAACAATAGGCATTATACATCATACATTAGGCATTAAACATATACATTAGGCATTCAAACATATACATATACATTAGCATAATTAAACATATACATTAGACATAATGCACAATACTTTATACATTAGTCAATAGGCATTATACATCAGGCCTTATATAAATCATGTATTAGATATAGATAATAGACAATAGACAATAAACAATAGACATTAGACATTAGACATAAGACAGACAAAAAGACCTCTCTAAACCACACAAAACAGACATCCCTCTCTACCTCTTGCTTTGAAACCGAGATTCCTGCTTCACTCGACCTCTTAATACTTTTTCTTTCTCTCTTTCAGTGTCTTCCTTGCGGCTTTTCATTTTTCCTGACACGGGATCGCCCTGTGTTGGAGGTACAAGGAAGTGTGAATTTCTTGGCTCTCTTTGCCAACTTCTTCTAAGATTTTTGTTCTCTGGTCTTCCTGTTTGGTTGTTTGTCTCTGTCTGTTTGTCTCTCTTTCTTTCTCTCCTCTCCTCCCACTTCTCTCTCTCTCTCTCTTCCTATTTCTCATTATTTCTCTCTCTCTAACTCTCTCTCCCTCTCTCTCTCTCTCTCTCTCTCTCTCTCTCTCTCTCTCTCTCTCTCTCTCT